GTGGAACCTCTCGGCGGCGGTGCGGGGCTTCCCCCACCTTCCTGCAAAATGGCGGAGAGTTCGCCCTTCAGCATGCTGTTCCCCGCCCATCCCCCGGACACGGTGCGGGTCTCAGCAGACTCGTCACAGCCCCCGCCAGAGTACCTCCCGATACTCGGGCATAGCCGATAATCCGGCACCACCTAGGTCCCAAAGGTGCTGGATTATGGGAAGTCTACTGTATTGGCCAAAGAGCACCATTTAATGATAACATAATTGCAGCCCCTTCGGAAGCTTTTGGTGTCTGAGAGTAGTTTATTTAATACAAAAATAGCCATTAAAAAAACAATGGCATAACATGGCCATCTAAAAATCTCTAGTATATATTACTGAACCTGCTGGAAAAATAGTAATTGTATGTTTAATTTATCAATATGTTGTAATGTAACCTGTAGCTCTCACAGCAAATTAGTAATTGGAGCATAATTAATTTATGTATAGATTTTTTGAATTTATTCTTAAGTATATTTAGCATTCACTTTTGTATAAGGCATTTTATATTATTTTAAATCTTTCCAAAAATGAGGAAACTACCAAAGAGATCTGTCAGAATAATATTCAAACCCAGCACAATGAAGGCAAACCAAATTTTAGAGTGACATTTCTTTTATACTGGTTTTAATATTTTTAAATGTCAAGTCACATAAGCCTTATGGGACCTAACAATATAGTGGGTATTAAACAAAAGAAAATTAAATTATTGAAGCCTTTTACTAAGCCAGCAATATCTATACATGTCATTTAAAGTTGGTAAAATTAAATGAAGAATACAGTTTTGATTTAAGCAAAACAATGTTTGTTTTACATAACCAGATCTAATCATGGTTAAGAAAGATCAATTATTTCTTGAAATGGAGTAAGTGTTATGCAATTTCTAAAAGAGTTTTTTCTTTTGTATTTTGGTTGTTGATAAAAAGTAAAATATTGTATATATCTTTTTCTAGATAATGTTGTATGAAGAATTATAGTTATAACATTTTTTCATGCTTTGTCTTTCAAATAATGTTTTATTCCTTTGGAATAAAAATAATTCTATCTAAAAAACTACTTATTTCATTCATTCGTGTTAGGATGTTATCTTGTGAACTAGGAGGTTTAAGTATCAGGAAAAAACACTTCCAAGGCATAGGTAACATTAAGCTTAAAAAGTGCTACTGATTAATGTGGGCTTGGAAGGATTAGGTTTTTTTTCCAATAAATGTCAGTAAACATTGATTTCATTGAACACACACAACCAACAAAATTGATAAAAATTGCAATTTACAGATAGGCGAAGTAAGAAAAATGCTTCTTAAAACATAAAAGTTCAATTTAAGGATATGTATTTTATATGTTTTGGCATATGATGTTGATTATTTGTTTTAATGATTATAAAGCTTTAACTCTTTTAATCCAAATATCTACTTTTATTTAATAGTCTGTTCCCTCATTGTCTGATCCCCCTCAAAAATCAAGTTTCTCTAAAGGATTTCAAATTGAACTTCCATCATACTAGTTTTTAAATTCTTGACCTAAATACTTGTAGCATCCAAATCAGAAAACCTTTCATCTCCAAGTTGTCAGTTCAAAGCCAGTTCAATTTAGGAGTGATCACAAATGCCTGTCACTGGATGACTATTTAGTGCGCCATATGACATGATTTTACTGGTCTAATTCACATAAGAAAAAAACCCATTGGTCTCACTGGTAGGAAGTTTTCATTCTCAATGTTGCCTGTGCAGAGCCAGGTTTCTGGAAATTCCAGTCTTCAGGAATATCCAGTTCAGAACCTTTTACAAGAACTAACTTCACAAGAATAAAGGCCCAAAATTGTTGAATGCTACACAATGCTATGAATGCTATGTCCCAAACAATAGTTGAAAGCAAATTATTACTATCGCCATCAATAAAACAGCTGAGTTTTATAAATTGAGTAAAACTGAGATTAGAAATTATAATATCTACTTATTCAGATAGAAGATACACCTGACACTGGACAGCAAACACTTTCTATGGGACATTTCCAATTTATATATATTACATATGTTGGTCACATTCTCCCTGAAAGTAAAGTTCTTTGTATGACTCATATGACTTTGCTATCTTCAGTGAAAACAAGACAGAAGAGGTCCAGAAAAGGGCAACTAGAATAATTAGGGATCTGGAAAAGTTTCTACATGAGAAGAACAAGTCAAATAGCGCCTGTGACTCTTAGGCATAGCCTACACCACCAAGCAAAATCTCTATCCTATCACTCTCAATGGGATCTGCCATCCAGGCTTAGCAAGTACAGGTCAGTTGAGGGTGTCCAGTGCTTAATTTATAATGAAAGAAGTGCCGGGATTAAAGCAAATGTTTTACTTTTGTAACTGATAGGGCAAGCCCAGAGGTCCCAGGGATATGAACTACCAAGCCTACAGGTGCCAGGGCTCATTCCTGGAAAAAATTAAGCACTGAGGGAGAGCCCCTTAAGCAGGACAGTTTAAGTACAGTCCTGCTGCTGTTTACTCACACAATAAAGTTAACATTTTATGACTCCTTCATTCACTACTAAAATTATTTATGACCCAATACCAGCCAAAATTGTTCATGTGGGCAGCGGAGCTCTGCCTGCTGGAGACCTAGGTGGAATAGGTGAGTTCATGTAAATCCTGGCTCATCACTAGCTATCAAAGAAGAAGTTTCAGGGGCTAGCCAAGTTAGTCTGTACAGGATAAACTTAAACAGCAACTGGTCTGGTAGCACTTTATAGACTAACAAAACATACAGATGGTATCAAAGAAGAGTTCATTCAGATCCTTCTTACTAATCATAATTTGAAATTATAAATTTGGTCAACATTCCTGCAATGAATGCACCAACATTGTCAGAAAAAACACCACTTGTGTGAGTAAGCTAGGCTCAGTTCATACGTTCAAACATACAGGTTGAACCTCTCTAATCTGGCACTCTCTGGTCTGGCAACATTCATGGTCGGGCATGATTTTAGTTAGCCAGATGTCCACTAATTGTGGCGTGGCCAAGTTTCCTTCATCTCCTCTACTCCCCTAAAGTTTGTTTACAGCCAACAATCCTAGCTTTCAGAGTGTTCTTTGCTATTATTAGCTCTAATTTACCCCCTAAATATTTTCTAAGAACCCAGTAAGCAGTGGAAGTATTAGTAATGCTGCTGCTGTAAGAACCCAGTAAGCAGTGGAAGTATTAGTAGTGCTGCTGCTATATAATATCGACCTTCCATGGTCCAGCAAATTCTCTGGTTTGGCACCAGTCAGGTGCCTAGGGTGCCAGGCTGGAGAGTTTCAACCTATATTATACTTTTTTTCAACCTGTATTATACTATAGAAGTATGGTATCAGACACTATGTCTACACTGTCCGTTTTGTGGGCAGTGGGTATGCAAATGAGGCACAGATTAGCATATTATGGTGCTTCATTTGCATACTTTATGCAAGTCATTTTTGAGCAAAGGGTTTTTGCAGAAAAAAAAGTAGTGGATGTTTTCTTTTTGTGCAAAAACCCCTTTTCCCACTAAACCCCTTTTTCCGCCAAATCCTTTTGCCCCAAAAAAGAAGGTTTACCCATTTGGTGGGAAAAGGGGTTTTTGTGCAAAAAGAAAACGCCCACAGTACTTTTTTCCCCTGTAAAGACGGTGTGCATAAATTATGCAAATGAGATGCCGGGATATGCAAATCTATGCCTCATTTGCATACGCACTGCCAGCAAAACCGGCACTGTAGACTAGTCTATAGATGTTTTCAACATGGGCATTAATATTTCAATTTCAAATCAAGTTTCCTACCAATGAGTAAAAAGAAAACGCCCACAGTACTTTTTTCCCCTGTAAAGACGGTGTGCATAAATTATGCAAATGAGATGCCGGGATATGCAAATCTATGCCTCATTTGCATACGCACTGCCAGCAAAACCGGCACTGTAGACTAGTCTATAGATGTTTTCAACATGGGCATTAATATTTCAATTTCAAATCAAGTTTCCTACCAATGAGTAAACTGGCAACTCCGCATGTACCTAGTTGTCCTTCCTGTGTGCGCGTGGGGG